AAAATTAAAATATCATTTTATTAAGTGTTAATATCTAAATTTGGAAATTTATTATATATTCTAATATAACAACATTTAAGAAGATAATTTTTCAAATTTTAATTTGAGTTTTAATTAAATAAAATGATATAATTTAAGGTTGGGATTTCAATTATTTTTGAAAGTCGTAATTGATATGAACTTTTCTCAAATCTAAATATCAACATTTAATAAGATAACTTTTTAAATTTTGAATTGAATTTTAATTAAATAAACCAACATAAATTAAGATTGAAATTATAATTATTTTTAGGAGTTGGGACTAATATGCACTTTTTTTTATAGCTAATTCTATAGTTAGTATGCCATGTGTAAGATTTTAGGCCTACAATTTTAGGCAAAACTCTCAAATCCACCCTTAAAAAATATTGATTGGGACACATCCACCTCTAAAAAAAAAAAAAGTAAGGACAAATTGCCCCTCTAATTATAAATCAATACAAATCACCTCTTTTTCAATAAAAAAACGTCAATATTCTGTTTGCCACGTCAGCATTTCTTAACGAAAAACGTTGAAAAAAGAGTGATTTGTATTGATTTATAATTTAGAGGGGTAATTTGTCTCTGCTTTTTTTTTTAGGGGTGGACGCATCCCTACCGATATTTTTTTAGGGTGGATTTGAGGGTTCTACCACAATTTTATATGGTATTAAATAAATATATAAATATAATGTGATATTAAACTAATAGATGTATATAATATTATAAGTAAATTTTTGAATGAAAAGAGTTAAATTAAAAAATAACACATCAAGTTGTAAATTTATAATATCATGTGATATATAACTATAATATTTTTCATAAAATATTTAAAAATATAGAAAAAAAAAGTCAATTTTAAATTGATAGATAGAACTAGTCAATTAAAGCAATTGAATTAGAACAGAGGTTAAAAAGGGGTCAATTACCAAATTAAGTTTTAAAACATTAAGTAAATTAAATTGAGATTTGAAGGAAAATACGTTCGTTTTTATAAGAATTACATTAATTTTAAATTTATGATTTTTTTTTCTTAATTATAGAGAATGTTGGGATTACATTCCATATATAAATTAGTTTATTCCTTTTCTTGGAAAAAGAAATAAAAACACTGCACATATATAAATCCAAGCAAAAGGAAGAAAGAGGACACAATTCAAGGAAAGAAAAAGGAGAAGAAAGAACAAAAAGATCCAAATATGGCCGAAGAATGGCCCCCTTACCCTCCTTGTGCTAATGGACATTGTAGTACTCGTCAATGCTGTGCTGGTAGTATGTATT